TCTGGTGCAAATTACTGACCTCTGTCATCATTTTAAGTGGGGGAACTTGCACAATCGGTGGCTGACTAAATACTTTTTTGCCCCACTGTAAATGATAAGACAGGAGGAATAAATAACAAGCAGGAGAAACATTTACAAAACAGTAGAAAGGCAGACATTGGAGAACAAAGTGCTTGAAAGTAGTGCAAAGGGCTCAGTCTGAGTATAGAGTCCATGTGTGAGTCGCCTGAGTGATGAGAGTTACTCAGACCATGGCTCCGATTGGTGAGATGGGGGGGGGGGGGTGCGGCAACTTTGCTTACCTACTGCATCACTACACCGCTCATTTTTCCATAGTGCCTTTACATAGCTTAAACATACACATGTTTCTGTGTCAGAGACAGATAAAGTCGGTTTGAATATGTGGAACAAACAGAAAATGAAAAGTTGTAAATGGTGGCAGATATTATGTAAGATAAATGAATTAAATAATTGAAGAAATAAAATAGCACAGTCTGTTTAAGACGTGGAATAAAGTTTGTGTCTCGACAGGTGAAATTTTATTTTGCAGTAAAGCTATCCAACTTTGCAAGGTTATGAACAAGATATTTGAAGGGAGAGAGAGAGAGAGAGAGTTAAAGAAATATATGAAAAATGAACGAAATGATTTATAAAGACAAATAGATAAAACATATAACAAACCCCTCAACCACGCTGACCTTTTATAGTTACAGTCATTCATCTTTATAAACGGACTTCCTGGAGGAAGTTAGCATCTGTTTCAGACAGTTTCACAATAAAAGCAGCTTCAGAGGAGTGCCAACTGGCCGCATGTGATCACAGTGATTAAACTGTGCTGCAGGCTAACGCTAACGCACTGACTCATTTCTTCATTAAGGGCCATGGCGACTTGCCGATGTCTATTTGAAGAACACGCACCGACTTACACCTGAGGCTTCCTCAAACATATGACTTCACTAGTGCTGCCTGAATCACCTTCCACTGAATCACTGTCTGTGTGTGTATCTGTGTGGCTTCAGTTTCAGTTTAAAATATGAGTAAAGAATGAAGCACAAACATGCACACACACAAACACACATAGAGCTCCTTATAAGCTCAGGGGAGTCATAGTGTCCTAGTTAATTTGGATTAGCAAACAGACATGGTGACACACATGCAGCCAGACAAGCACGCAAGAAAACTGTCACCAGAGAGAGCATATATTATTTTTTTACAAAAGTTGGAAAAGACCTTTTTTTAAAGAAGCAAAGAACTACTTTTGTCTTCTCCTCACTACAAGCGGTGACACCAAAGACATCGAGACACCCTCTAAAAATCAGCTTGAGCTCAAAGTATTGTTCAGTCCATTATAGATTCATGTACACTCTTAATTTCAACGTTTTAAGTCATACTTGTGTCAGGCAATGTTGTACCAAACTATATGTGCTGCTGATTTTAAATGAGCACAGAAAAAAATTATACTTTGTTAACTGAATGTGAAGCTTACAGTGTCAAATTATGCACATACATTACACAATACAGATCATATATTAACTGTAGGAAAAGGTCAAACACAGTAAAAGGTACAACATTTTACTGGAGAAGACAGTATTAGGCAGTATAACCTAGATTTAAAAATACTTTAATAGCAGGGATCATAGTTAGCTTCACATCTTTGCACAGACAGGTTTATATAAACAAACAGAGTCCTCTAATAAATAACACGCACTCATCCATCCGTCCACCCAGTAAAGTTTGAGCAAACAATAAGAAATGTATCAGTACCAAGTCTCATGTTCTATGTTTGGGGAAAGGCGATTGCAGTGGAAAGTCTTTGTGACAGTGTTTAAAACAAGAACTAATATATGACAGGAAGTTACAACCACTCATCTCTAAAAATTACACAGCAGTGTTGAAATCATTATTAGCAGCAGTTTATATTCCCGTTCTAGTATCTATGTCTTAACCAGCTCAATTTTATTGAAATTTGAACTATTACAAATCAGATGAATAAATTATACTTTTAAATAGTGCTAAATTTGGTTTGAGGTCAGCTAGCAGATGAGTGGCTAATGCGCAAACCACAAGACCTGCTTCCCTGCCTACTGAGTGTTTACACCATGCAGACATTCTCATGCTCTTCTTCTCCACATTTTCTTTTACTTACTGCTGTTCTTTGCTAATAGAGATGCAAACTGCAAAAAAATTTAGAATTATTTTTAATATTTAATTATATAAATTGACTTTTTTGCACACAGGAGGGAAGTCTGTGGTCCTCTGAGGGAACAGGCACAAACAGTGGTCTAAATGAGGTGAGTTCTGCTTCAACCAGTGGTGGTCTTCGAGTTTGATTTAGTACAAAATTCATTTAAACCAACATTAGTTAGAGGCACTAATTAAATATCTCTCCTCACACAGCACCAGGTGTATAACACCCACCCCCCGGAGAGAGGGGGCTCATCCTATATACAGCGGGAAGTACAGCACAGCCACTCCCAGCCTCCGCTGCAGCCACAGCGCTTCCAGCACACATACGCCCCGAGTCGCTTTCAGCCAACTTATCCCTACCTGCCTCAGAGCCTCATCGATCTTCCCCCCACCATCTCCCTCTCAGATGGAGAGGAGCCCCCGCCGTACCAGGGGCCCTGCACCCTGCAGCTCAGAGACCCCGAGCAGCAGATGGAGCTGAACCGCGAGTCGGTCAGAGCGCCACCCAACCGAACAGTATTCGACTCCCACCCTCTCGATCCATCCAACTCCTGCCTGCAGGCCAGGTAACAATAAGCAAGTCTGTGGTCCGTTATTGTGTTTTGGATCACTCACTTGTCGTTGTGTTGACTAATTCCTGTGTTAAGGATTTTTATCAAGAGACTTATCCAGCTTATAAAAGGCGTCTAACTGTGACTAGATGTACTGCACAGTAAAGGAGAAATGGAGTGTAAGTGAAAAAAGAGACTAAGAGCTTTAGACATCCTCAACTTCACAGCCTAATGTTTGATTATGTTTCATTTTCTGTAATTATGATGCATTGTAAGGTTTTAAATGCAGAAATTCGATTAGCTGAAAACCTACAACAAATCATTTTTTATCTGCCATCATCTTGTCTTCATCTGTGTTATTTATTCATTCATTTATTTTGCTCTCAGACTGCAGGCCCCCCCTCCAAGTGTCCATTCAGGCATCAGTGTGTTGGAAGCCCAGGAGGCTTTGTCCAGGCATCAGAAGCAGGGCTCTCGAGTGGAAGGAGCTCCTCCAGCCTACAGCGAGGTGATTGGGCACTACTACCACCCAACATCTGTAACCTCCAGCCATAACAATCGGACTGTGATATCCTCACAAGCACCACCTGCCTCGCTCATACAAGGCCTGCTCCGACCTCCACATCAACAGCAAGGAAGCGTGGACAACAGGAACACAAGGAATACAAAGGAGAAATCCCAGAAACCCCAGCAGGTGTGACAGTGCTGCTCTCTGCTTCCAGTGAGAAAACCGGGATTACATCTGCTCACCACTGGAGTAATGGCCAGTGGAGAATGATGAAAAATCACGAAGTTGTTAAAATCCACTCTGAAGGGTTTAAGAGCTGGTTAGTTTTAGTTGTTGCAGGTCAGTTTTACAGTTTCCCCACTGGCTTTTCTGGGTAAGATAACCCAGAACCACGTTGCTCCTGCAGAGCACAGTCGCATGAACATCTGGTACATCCTGTTCTGCAGCTTCCTGCTTCATGTCTTCTGAAGAACCATTGATATCAGAAAAGAGAGGAAGATTTAGAAGGGAATGAGATGGAAGCAGATGATTCTTTCCCTTAACAAGTCCTCCTCATCTCTCTTCTGTCAGACTGATCTGCGTAATCACCTTTCACAATGAATATTTACTTGGTCTGTTTTTTTCCGTTGAACTTTTTCTTTATCTTATTCACACATCCATGAAAATTCCTATCCAAGCAAATGGCGAAATGTTACAATCTTCTTGGTTCTTCCATTTGTAGGATTTCTTTTTTTTTAAATGTGATAATCCCCCACCACCACGCTGCTTGTGTCCATTTAGTCCATATTCAAAACTCCACTTCTGCACCAGGCTTTAGCCACATCGCTGGGACATTTTAGCACACTCGCTTATTCCGCGAGTTGTAGCACAAGGCTAAAAGTTCTGCCTTACATTTCCTAAGCGATGCAGGAGTTGCCACTGAAATGCTTGTTTCTTTTTTTTCCTTTTTAAAAAAAAGTATGTTCTTTTTTTTAAAGAACGCTTGCACAAAGTTCAAGACTGTTCACCGCAGAAAAAGAATAATCCGCAATATGATCGAAAAGAGACAGAAAGTAGGGAAAGTTTGGGTATTTTTCTATACTTGATGGATTCCTATGAGTACATTTTTTGTGTTGCTTTTGTTTAGCTTTTTTTTTTTTAATTTCTTGTCTAGTTTTAGAAAAAAAGATACAAACATCAGTAATCGGTTGGGGTGCCAACTTTTCACCTTTTGCAACGTACATGTTGACGTGTATGTACGTCACACATGGAGCATATATACACACACACATGTATGCAAACCTGAGTGAAAAGCACGAATTTAAAGTTATTTATATAATTGCTGAAAAGAATTGCACTATTTTTTAGTATGCGCCAATGGAACGTTTTTGGGACTTTTATTTTGAAGGAGCTCTGTCTATTGCGGCATAAAAACAAGAGAGAAGCAAGAACATGGTGAGTGAGGCTCAGACCGAGCGGTGCACAGCAGCTGCTATCATGATAAATGTAAGGGGAGGTTCTGACTTTGGCCCAACGGACTCGGATTAACCGTTACTGTACCATTGATACAAATGAATAAATAATCGTTGGTTTATGCAAATGTCCGAGTCCTGCGAGCCAGCCACAAGTCAGCATCCAACCTGTGGGTCCAATCAGAAAGTCTTAACTCTCTCTCATCCTATTGGCCGAATCATTAGCCAATCCCAAAGCTGGCTATTACTACCTCGACCAAACAAGCGAAGCACATTAGAGTTTATTCATGTTAACCAGACACAACAAATGTCTGGACTAATCGAGACAGTCTAATGTAACAATAGATGTTAAGTAGAGTAGGATGTTGTAGACTTAGTTTTTAATCCTGTTATTTTATTTGAATGTCAGATATTTTATTCATTGGATGAGAAGAGAGAAAACAAACCAATGACACCCCCCTTGTAGTGTATTACTCAGGAAGGAAGCCAGTCGCCCAGCAGGTCCTGAATATCTGATGCACTGACTGTGCACCACTTTGGTCACCCATGCACCCAAAAGACCAAATTTTCTGATCACGTACCTCTGGTTCCTTCGAATTATAGAATCTCTCCCACGTTTTCAACCCATGTATACAATCTGCTCTCTAAGTTTTTCTCTCTTGCAGGCCACTCTGAGCACTTTATTGCACCAGGAAAGAGACAACAATCTTCTGTCAGCCAGCGCCGGCCAACCAACCAATAAAGCTTAAACACAACGGTAGAACCTTTTAGGTTTTTAGATTCAGATTTAGATTCTCCAACCACTAGTGATGCACTTTTAAAGAGATGCAAAGAGTTGTGGACCAAAGCTTTTAACATTTACTGGATTAAAAAACAACTTTATTTATCATTTTGAGATTTAAGAACTTTAAGACATACGGACTTTAAATCCTCAACTATCCTTATACAGGTCTCCATAAAACCAGCTGAACATATACTTTAACAAATATATTCTATAATTAGGAGAATTTATTATAATGATTGTAAACTCATTCTTTTAAGCTTTGGACTCAAACTCTTTGAGTGTTGAATGCAGCACAAGGCTGGTTGTTGAAACTAGACACACTGAAGTGTTGAAAAGTGGCACGAGTGTTAATAGCAGCCCGTCTTGTGTCATCTCATTAAGAGTGCAGAATTAATAGAGTTGCATTAGGTAGCTGACTGAGCTACTTGATCAGTATTTGTAGTTTTTGTATTTAAAGCTGCTGCTTGATCCAGACAAAATCAGCGCCCTCTAGTGTCCAGCCTTTATGCAACAGCGCCCTCTTCAGGGACTGAACCAAACTGTAGCCAAATCTCCTGAGAGACAAAGTCTGAAGGCTAAAAAAAGACATTTTATAATCTCATATGGTGAATCTTTAATTTTTTGTCTGTACTTTCCTTCCGTGATGAGTCACAGCAGCATCTATCAACTATCGTGATAAAAAGAATTCAATCTGCTGAACTTGTTCCCCAGTATAAACCTTGTTTACAGGGACAGTTTGGCCCAAAGGTAAATTTATGTATTTTTCCAATTTTTTTGTACTCATTCCTATCCAACTGGATTGTGTTGAACTGGTGTGTGAATTGCCCAGTTCTGGAGAAATCAGCTACAGCGATGCCTGTGTTCTCTTTAATATAATGTAAGAAAATGGCAATTTCTGCTTGGGGTGTTTAAAGTGCCAAAATGTGAAAAAGACAGCAACAGTTTCTCTTTCCAGAAATTGTGACCTGTTTATTCAAAATATAAAAAATAAAAAAACCTTACAGTGAGCCATTTCATGCAGGAACCGCAATTTTGAAAAATGTCCATGTGCAGAAGAAAGCAACCATGTGCGTGTGATGAAAGGCTCTTGCTGGTGGGAGATTGAATGGATGTCCCTCATTTGACCTGTAATATCAGGTAGCTGCACAGGTGCGAGGGTGTCTTTTGGTTTGAAGAAGATATTTCCTACAGGAAACTGCTCACAAAAATGTTGGTGGATGTTTTTTGATTAACAGCTTCACAATTTTTGAAAGAGGCATTGCTGCAGAATATTTCAAATGTAATGTTTGGTGCTTTGAGCTCTTCATAGTAAATGCCATTCATTTCTACATCCAAAAACTTCAAAAATGAGTGTCTCACAAAAAAAAAAAACCCATAGAAAACTGTGTAAATTTGATATTAATGTAAACTCTTATTTTAAGTTGCTGGATACAAACTAAACGTTTACAGCTTGAAACTATAACATTTCAAATCATAAAACAGATTGAAAAGACTCTTCTAGCTGGTTAGAAAAGTCTTTGATGATATCAGAAAGATCTTCAAAACATCTTGTAGCATTACTCAGCGAACTACTTTTAAAAATCCATCGAGGATCTGGGATTTACAGAGGCTTATATTTTAGAGTTAAAACCTGAAAACACTGAATTCCTCTCAAAAAGTAAAGACAAAAAGTGAGAAAAAAAGATTCGCCCTCCCGTCATCTTTAAAGTCTGTAGCTCTCTGTATTGTTCCTCTGCTGCATTGCATTTAATATAGATCACTTAAAGAAAAAAAATTATATAAATTAACAAATCTACTGCCCCAAAAGAAAGATGATTGGCTCATTTAAAAAAGATTATTGTAATAATAATAATAATAATAATAATAATAATAATCTTTGATCTTGTAATGAGGTTAGCAGCCTGGTTCTCAGTCCTAAGGTACTTTGAACTATTTTTCTCTTTCATAAGTGTTTTTGAACAGAGTTGTTTCCTTAAATGGTTTCCTTTCCTGCACCAGAGGGCTTGCAGCGGGTATGAGAAGGCTGGACAGGCTCTGACCACAAATATTAGTGATAGGAGCTTAAAAAATGTATAAGGAAGTTTGAAAATGTGTAGAATCAATCTCTTATTTCAGGGGAAAACCCGGGCTGGCTGACAATACAAAAAACAAGACAGGAGGAGAAAGAGGGAAAAGTCATTTGGAGGCTGACAGGAAGAACAGATCACACATTTATACACAGCTGCTAATACCCTAGCGCTGCCTACACCTAAAGACTGGTGTGTTTACATGCAGTTGTACTTGTTCACCAGTGTTTGCGAGCTTTTCTTTAACTCTTAATTCTATTTATTTATGTTTCTTTTTAAAATTCAGTTCGATTTGAGTCACATAAAAGAGACATATTAAACCAATCAGTGCTCAGATCACATATTTTTTGTTGCTTTAATCCATCGTGGAGATACTGAAAGTGTTAGGAGATCACTGTGTGTGTGTGCGTGTGTGCAGTTAATGTACACCCACCTGCCCTGTGAAAGACCTCCAGCTGTCTAGACAAAAACTAAACACATAAAGGCACACACAGAGCAGACTAAACAAACTCACCGAAGAACCAAACGCCTCACACACACACAATAAACACACACGCACACACACTGAGGTTTTTGTTATTGCGGACCACACAAGGTAGCAAAAACATTTATTTCACACACCTTGATTGCCTCTCCCCTCCCTCTCCCTCTTCCTGTCTGAACGAGCTCTTCCTGTTCCCTAGAGATGGCCGCTGTCCAATGACAGAGCTCCTTTCAGAACCGGCCCTCGCTGCCGCTGGGTCAGCGGTTTTTGAGTCTCCTTGGAAACGTTCGTTGTTTGTTATTGTTGCTATGTCGTACAAGTGTGCCTGCCTGCGCTGAGACGGGCAAAATGTGAGTGGCTAGTTCAGGCTGTCAATCATCCCAGGCCACACTGTCTCAGATGATGACGATGAATAGATGATGGTGATGAGATTGTTGTTGTTGGTGATGATGATGACGAAGATAGATGTTTTTGGTAGTGACACCGCAAAGATCGTTGCAATACACCTACTATTTGCCTTTTTGATGATATTAGTCATATTTTAACGTAGTGTGCTAAATGTCAGTTTTTTTTATTGTTGTTGTTGTTGTTGTTGTTGCTGATGATGATGTTTATTCACTTGAGAACAAAAAGATTTAACTTCAATTCAAAAGTTCATATCATTAAAAAATGTGTTTGTTTTTTTTTATTTTGTAAACATCGAGAGTGTAAAACTACCTAACACACAAACACTGCAGATTTCTGGGGAGGATGTGTAAATATAAGAAAATGTACTTCTGCTTTTAAGTGCCCTTTTTTACAGTTTAAAGTTGTCAGTGTGCAGCTGTCTGAAGAGCAAACCGGTGCGATTGGTGCGGGGATCGACGCCACAGATCCCCATCAACATCACTTGAGATGAGCTTATGTTAAAGCTAGCTAAAGTTCCCTTTTATTGGAACCTTTTTGAGCACATTTGTATCACGCACTTATAAGTTCAAGTATAAATCTTCATGTAAGCACCTAGTCCTCATAACCCACTAATCATTGCGTCTCCTTACTCGACCCAGCGTCTAGATGTGTGCCTTCTGGTGTCCAGCATGATCGGAGACTTACACTTAAAAAAATCCTTTACTGTTGCCTTTCAACGCAAAACCTCGGACAGCACAAAATCTTAACACGTTACAGCCGTGACGTATGGGAGCCCAGTCAGGCCAAGAAAAAAAAATGGAGGGAGAAAAAAAAAACATTCAGTGTTTCTAAGCTAAAATGGACCAAAAGTCCTTAAAATACTACAAAAAAATAACATGTGGAAAAGCGGATATCTGCAAATCCTGTGTGGTTGCTTCTATTGTTTTTATGTTATCATTCCAACTTCTCTTCCCTTTTCTTTTTCCTGGTAAAGCTGGACTTCCATAATCACGATATTAGATGCTCAATTTGTGAAAACAAACAGAAAAGTGTCTTTCACATTACTGTTGCTATTGCTGCTCTATATGTTTGGAACTATAACTAAAAACAGCTGAAATTAATGTTTTTCTTCAGAAATTTAATGAGACGCAGTATTTGCTTTTAACATTTCTGACTGCTTGCAAAGAATCACACACCACACAGTCCAGATTCATATGTGACATTATTTAAGACATCTCCAAAGACGAAACCACTGTAAAGAAAAAAACGTTCAGTCAAGCTTGAAGTTTTTGTTTTCGATTTTGGGGAAAAATCTTTTTTTTTTCCTCCAGTTTTTGCTACATGTTTGATCAGTTTTAAAAGAAAGGATGATTTAAGTAACACAAGTAGACTGGCGGACGGCATACAAGCAAACCGTTTTCTCCCTTCATATTTCTGTATCATTGCATTTTTCTCTGCTTGCTCTGCTCTTTTAATCAGCGCTGTGTGGCGCCTTTCCTCTGACAATGTCGAAGAAAAAGTATACAAAAGCACTCTTGTTCGCAGTTATGTTATGTGTTCATATTTAAATAAGCCTCTGTATCCTACACCGCAGTGACTATTGTAGAAGTCTTCCACCTGTCCTTGAGTTTTATCCTGCAAGCATGTAAACTGTGGGGCTTGTACAATAGACCAGTTTGTTCTGGTAAGGATTCCTACGTGCAGCTGGTCCAGATGTTTTAGAAAAGCATGATAAAATGCTGCGATTGTGTCCAGGGAAGTAAAACTGCACACAAGTAATCAGCAGCTTTGGAGTGAAATCTTCACTCAGGACCAGATGTCAGATGAAAATGTGGGAACTCTGATCTGTTCTCTGCAATGCTGGGTTTCCCATCACTCAAACTTAGCACCGGGTTCATAAAAAGAATGAACATGGAGCTGAGGGTTTAACTTCAATCTGTTATCTGTCACAGCATGGCTCGTGCACTTATATAGAGGCCTGCTTATTCTCAGTGATAATAACTGCTTATTTGTGTATTAAGACAGTTTATTTTAATTTATATTGGATGGTCTGTGTGTTGCTGGGTTTGCTATGTTGTTATTTTCTTTTCTGTTACAAACACAAGACAATGGTTTATTGTTGTTGTCACAGAACATGAATCAGACACATTTCAGTTAGCCTTCGATTTAAAAAAACAAATAAAAAGTTTTATAAATTCACCCGAGTCTCCTCTGCTTATTTATTTTGTATTTAGTAATTGTTGGAGGCTTTGCTTTGTTTTTGTTTTTGCAAGAAAGAAGCCTTTGACACACATTCATTCATCCACCACACAGACACACACACACACACACACACACACACACATGCACAGACACTTTGTACACATACACGATTTGGTTTGTATGCACATTTCAAAAAGCTGCTGGGAACATCCCTTAGATTAGCTCCTGTTCCATGCTGATGTGATAGCATCATGCAGCAGATCTGTTGACTGTACTTTGATTCAGGCTGAAGCATTGATCTGACAGAAGGTACTGGGCAACATGGATGATTGGTTTTGTGATATTTAAACTCAAATATGATCCTACTGTCATCATGTGGCATCCAAATTAGCAAAATAATTATCATAACTTTTAAATGTTGTGTGACTCTTGAAATACATTTTATTTTCATCTGCAGAGTTAAGATGCTGTAAATATGTATCCAGCAGATGGCGCACTTGAATTAGAGTTCAAGGCTCAATGGCCACATCATGGTTATGATTGTTAGATTTACTTTATCTCTAGTTATTAGTGTTTAAGGGGTCAGTGTTCACTGATCTGGTCCACCAGGAAGACTCAGGCCTTTTGATTGTGTTGTTTGTATTTGTTGAAAATACATGAAAGCACAGAAAGGAGGAAGTGTGTCAGATTTTTTATAAAAATGTTATTTTTTGGACTTTGCATGAGATACTCTGAACATGCTGTGTCTGCTGCATGATGGCACTGTGAAAATATGTTTTGGCTGGAAATGTGTTTGTCTGTTTTCAGTTTTTAAAAAGAAAAGTACCAGTGTCAGGATCACCAAAGCCAGGAAGGCCTGATGGCGGATGAGAATTCCCTGCAGAAGACCACCTTGCCTGTTGAGGTGGCTCTGACGGGCCTTTTGCACTCTCCATTATAAAGAAAACAAAAACATGACAAAACAAGTAAACAAACAAAATATGCATTTGTTCCTCAAATTAACTTGAGCCCCTAAATGAACTTGAAGGCTCAAAATGAACATTTTTGTCATTGCCATCTTGATGTTTTAAAACCAAATGGGACGTGAAATACTTTTCAATCACATGAACACACCCTAAAACATACCCTGCTTTATGTTACTTCTCTACATAATAAACCACATGGTCATTGTAACTGAGACCATTAACTTATCAATATCTTAGGGGACCATTTGCACAACTGAATATCTTTTTGCAACCTGAAAAGTGATCCTTGCTGACCAATAGAAAGAATGCAGTTTTAAGGCATCCACCATGCATGGTTAGACTATAAACATTTGTAATTATTTACAATGTCATCAATTATTCAGACATTGATGTAATACAAGTAGCAATAACACACATTCAGAAACGCTTGTCTACAAGTAAGACATGCTTTGAGACTTGATCTCAAAAACTGTGAGACTTGACATGAACATATCTGTATTTACATGCTTCACCTGTACATGTTTGGATAAAACATTTTTAAAAAAATTTTATTTAAATTGTGTAATGTGAAACCACTGCAGAAGCACCTTAAATCTGCATTCATTTCTGTTAGGCCCTGTTAGTACTCTTGTGGCATTCTGTATTAACTGAAGGCTTTTAGAACAGCAAGATAGGAAGGGGTTACAATTGTCCAGCCTTGAAGTGACAAATGCATGGATCAATTTTCCAATGTCACTCTTGGACAGGATGTTACTAAGTTTCAGAACATTGCTCTAATGATAGAAAGCAGTCTTACATATTTCCTTGGAGGACATATCCTGGTCAAAACTGATGAGAAAATATTCCTCACAGTTGTCATCTAGGGTGAGCATTTGGTTGGACACCATGTTTCTAAGATTTCAGGGCCAAATACAATAACCTAGACTGATTTGATGCTTGAATTTATCTGAATTTAATTAAGACCCACTTGGTCTTGTTGTTTTAAAGCCTAACTTAGATGCACAGGAGGACTTGAGACTTGATTGGGTGAGGCTAAAATGAGGGTAAACTTGAAAATGCACTAAACTTGTCACAGTCGACATTAAAGGCTCAGCTCTGCCCTTTGATCTGTGGCTGTCAGCTGTCAGCCTCTTGATCATTGAGTGACTTCCAGCCAGATGAACCTGAACCAGTTATCGAACAGATTCCAATGACTCAACAACTTACACTAGATTACACTCTTTTCTGTTCCTGCCAAGTTTCTACATCAGCTCTCACCTCATACTGCAGGGTCATCCATTTTCCTATCTCTCTTTCTCTTTCTACTATCTGTCTTGCCACACACTTGGCAGTCAGCCTACTGAACAAACACTCTTCAGTTTGTTTTATGGCCTACGAGAGCAGAAAAAGGTTGAATGAGTTACGGATGCATCGTAAAATGGAGATGGAACAATGAATGAGGTGATGAAGAAATGAGGGTTGATTACTGAAAGTCATTCCAGGGATTATGTAAGGATCATTTGAGTGAATTCACAAAACTATTTTCTCCTTTCTTCTTTCGTCGTTTATAGCAAGTCATTTAAAAAAAAAAAACCCATCAAAGATCAATTTCTGACAGGTGGCATGAATGTATTTTTGATCTTTCTCCTGTGTTTTTTCTTTTTTTCCCTGTGGTACACCTTGTCGGACGAGGGTGGAAAAAGCTGCACTATATTCTTATACCAACTTATTTGAACTTATTTAGGCACTTTAACACCTCAAAAAAGAAACTTTAAAATCTGTGTGCAGAATTTAGCAGAAGGGAGTTCAAGTTGTCAACTTTGCCTTGGGATCCTCTCATTGAGCCATTTATGTTCAAAAGACTAATGTAGCTTATTAAATGATCTGGATGCTGTTCATAAAATTAAGTTGATATTTTCAGCCTTTTTCCATTCATCTGTTGTCCAGCTTTGCTCAGTCTGACACAATTTACTACTTGTAGCTGACAAGAGTGGTGTGATGTGGTCTCCTGCTGCTGTAGCTTATTTGCTACAAGGTCTGATGTCGATGTCGAGGTGTGGAGATGCTCTTCTGTGTATCCTGGTTTTTACAAGTGGTTATTGAGTTACTGTTGCCTTCCTATCAGCTCAAAGACCATTCTCCTCTGACGTATGAAGTATTTTCATCCATAGATCTGCTGCTCACCGGATATTTTCTCATCTTCAGATCATTCTCTGTAAATTCTAGAGTTGGCTGTGTGGGGAAATCATAGCAGCTCAGCAATTTCTGAAACACTCAGACGAGCCCATCTGACACCAACAACTATGCCAAGTTCAAAGTCACTTAAATCATTTTTCTTCCTTATTCTGATGCTCAATTTGAACTTCAGCGGATCATCTTAACCATGTCGAAATGCAATGAGTTGCTGCCATGTCAATGGCTGATTAGACACTTGAGTTAATGATGAGTTTAACAGACGTACTTAATAAAGTGCCCAGTGCAGATCAAATAATAAATTGAATGCTGGCTTTATCTTCACCATTATGGTCCAATCCAATGCCCCCATTACTCCTCACACCACACCAGTCAACGAGTCCATCTTATGCTCTGCCTTCTCATCATTCGTAAATAAGAAGCTGCTGTATATGAACTTTCCAGATCAAATGAACCTCTTTCCCCAACCTGGAGGGAACAAGTCACCGTGTTTAGGCACACTGCTCCCTCTGGGTTGCGAGAGATGGCATCTACAGATGCCGTCAATGCAGAAATTAACTACTGAATTCACTATAAAGGACCACTGAAAAGAATTAAAGCTGTCACAAATTATGAGGCTTAAAAGACATCCTTGGGTCTGAGGGTTAAAGAAATGACTCACACACAATGCCTGGAAAGCATGAACTGAAATTTAAAGTACTGTACTGTAAAACATGATATCTTGAACCGAGAACACAGCATTTGAATACCTTATCGTCATCCATCTAAGCAAATCGAATTTTCATGATGGAGTCTACAAATGAAACTGGGGAGGTTATGTGGGCAGATGTTGCATGCGAACTGGACATCTCAGCAAAACGTAGAGTCATCGGAATTCCCTGTGAGCACGGACCAATCACTGCGCAGAGGCATTCCTGCTGACATCTATCAGAGAGGGTGAGTGGCCCAGCAGTGATGTCACTGTGTCATCTGTGCAGCCACCAAACAAGAACACACACAACACTGATAAGGCCTCACCTCCGCTCTGATGCTGCTACTTGTCATTGTGTAACTGTATTTTTTGTCACTCTGGCTCAGTTTCTATCACATTTTTAATGTTTTCTATTTGGTATATCCATCAACATTGGACAATTGATAAATATTTTTATTGTTATTTATATTTTATATACAGATCCTGTGGTTAAAAAAGGAAGTTTAATTCTGTTTTTCAGAACCTAATATTTTCAATATGCTGTAACAGCCCAAAGCAGACTGAAGACAC